TTATCCTTTGGTGAACGTGTTCCTGCCGGTCAGCTTCAGAGACCTCCCTGGCAAGGCCTTCTCTGAAACAGATGAAGCAGCCATGCTTCAAGATGCAGGCTGGCCGTTTGCTTGAAAGGAGATGTGTGTAGCCACACTGGGGGCAACCTTTTGTTGATCTTATTTTGCCTGGTAGCTTTGAATTGGCTTGACTGCCCTTTGTCATTGTCCCGCTTGTGAGGCCATTGCATTTGTTGAGCCTGAGCTGCCTAGCAATATCGGATTTCGCTGACCTGATGTGCCCAAGCCATAATAGGTTGACCTACGATGTTGTTGCGCATTCTAGCGGGATATTGAAGTCGCAAGTTTCCCACGATGTTCGCATGTTGCCACCCCAAACAAACCAAACAAAGGTTAACTTCTGTAAGCATCTGCAATTTGAGAGAAGTGAGGCGTCACCACTTGCATTTGGCTTCGTCACTGGGAGATCCGCGTGCTGCCCTTTGTTTTCCAGCAGTTCCTGGCGTCCTGAGGGGGCGGGCGCTAAATTCTCTTCGTTGCCAGGCAGAGACCGACCCAGGCTGCCAGGCTGTGCAGCGGGGATGAGGGGATGGCCGGTATCTCCAATTTGTTCGTACCGGAATAGTGGAATTCGCACGCACCAAGGGGTTCGGAACGCTGCCGAGCACCCAGCAGCCTGCAGTTGTTGCACAGTAAGGAGAGACGACCACTATGGGTAAAGCCTGCCACGGGTAAAGCCAGGCATGGGTGATCTTCCGTGTTTGCCTTTCGCAGGTTGCTTGATGCTCTTGCAGGCGATCTCTTCTTTTTGGCTCCCAGGGTCACTGTTTTGAAGTAAAATGGCTCCCCTCTCAATGGACTTGGTGCAGAAAATGGCCAGGCAGCAGCGGCCGCTTAAAGCTTGCTGAGCCTGGCACTTGGACTTTTCTCACTGGGTCCAACTACAAAGAAGGTTTCTTTGGGTCCTAAGCTCGACTAACGTGAGGAATTATTCAAGAGAGACCAATGAGGAATTGGCACTTGTTATATTATGTTTTTTGTTTTATTGTTTTCGGGCCATCAAAATCAAATGTAGCACCAATCTGGTTCCCTAACCAAGATGTGAGAAGCGAATGTATGCTATATAAGTTGCATTTGAATTTGAACGCTCCAGTTGCACTTATCTAACACCCGGTTCAGTGGCACCCGTTGCCCGTTCTGCGTTGTATCATTCTTGCCACTGTTGGTCGACTATATGAAAAATAGAAACTTTGCACATGCATTTTATGCAGATGTGTGCTCCAAGCGAGATGCAGGTGCGCACACACACACACACACACACACACACACACACACAACACAACACAACACAACACAACACAACGCAACGCAACGCAACGCAACGCGACGCGACGCGACGCGACGCGACGCGACGCCACGCCACGCCACGCAACGCAACGCAACGCAACGCCACGCCACGCCACGCCACGCCACGCCACGCCACGCCACGCCACGCCACGCCACGCCACGCCACGCCACGCCACGCCACGCCACGCCACGCCACGCCACGCCACGCCACGCCACGCCACGCCACGCCACGCCACGCCACGCCACGCCACGCCACGCCACGCCACGCCACGCCACGCCACGCCACGCCACGCCACGCCACGCCACGCCACGCCACGCCACGCCACGCCACGCCACGCCACGCCACGCCACGCCACGCCACGCCACGCCACGCCGCCACGCCACGCCACGCGCCACGCCACGCCACGCCACGCCACGCCACGCCACGCCACGCCACGCCACGCCACGCCACGCCACGCCACGCCACGCCACGCCACGCCACGCCACGCCACGCCACGCCACGCCACGCCACGCCACGCACGCCACGCACGCACGCACACACACACACACACTAGGCTGATGTTTTGCCCACGTTTGCCCGCACGAGTGCCATTGGAGGTGATGCTGCGACACTTTGCCATTCTGCCGCCACCCAGGCCGCAACCTAGCCGGGCACAGCGAGACGGCCAGAAGTTTTAACCTTTGCAAGCTGTACAGTTTCCAGCTGGACGGTCGCCCTGACGTGGACAGAGACGCAACTAGGTTGGCGCAAGCATTTAGGAGTGTGGCATTGTACAATCATGTAGCCACTGCGCTGCGGGCAAGCACGAGCCTTGGGTTCCCGTATGGCTTCTTGCTTTTTGCACAGTCAATCAACAAACAAATGCCGGGACAGTCCGAAACACATTCAGGGAGGCCGCTAAATAGTCAAAGAAAAAGGCAAGCGGTCTCTTGAACACCACGTGTAGGATGGGGCTGTTTCTTGTTTCTTCCCGTGCCATTGGAGGCCCTAAGCAGAGGGCTTGGGATGCAAGACGTGTACGTCAGGAGCAAGGCCAAGCTGTGTCAATGCCATTGGTACCTGCAGCCTGCCTGCGTGCCTGTCGGCAGACAAAGCCCACGCACTTTGAAGCGAAGGCTCACTTTGCAAAGCCACCATCCTCAGCCAAGCTTAAGCCTTTAAGCACGACACATGCTGGTTTGCATCTTTGTCTCAGTGAAATCAAGTGTTTGGTTGTCCGGTTCTGTCCGGTCGCCCTGGGCCATAAGTCTGGTTTGGGCTGAGAGCTTCCAGGCTAGATGTGGAAGAGCCTTTGTAGCCATTTAGCCTATGAAGTCATATGACCACTCCTCACATCAGTATATGTTCTGCCCATGACATGTGGACATATATAACAACCCGTGTTTACTTATTGTATGTACACACAAGAGTGTGTGTGTGTGTGTGTGTCTGTGTGTGTGTCTCTGTGTGTTTGTGTGTGTGTGTGTCTCTGTGTGTCTCTGTGTGTCTCTGTGTGTCTCTGTGTGTCTCTGTGTGTGTCTGTGTGTGTGTGTGTGTCTGTGTGTGTGTGTGTGTCTGTGTCTGTGTCTGCTGTGTCTGTCTGTGTCTGTCTGTGTGTCTGTGTGTCTGCGTGTGTGTGTGTGTGTGTGTGTGTGTGTGGGTGTGTGTGGGTGTGTGTCGGTGTGGGTGTGTGTTGTGTGTGTGTGTGTTGTGTTGTGTTGTGTTGTGTTGTGTTGTGTTGTGTTGTGTTGTGTTGTGTTGTGTTGTGTTGTGTTGTGTTGTGTTGTGTTGTGTTGTGTTGTGTTGTGTTGTGTTGTGTTGTGTTGTCTGTGTTGTTGTGTTGTGTTGTGTTGTGTTGTGTGTGTTTCTGTGTTTCTGTGTTTCTGTGTTTCTGTGTTTCTGTGTTTCTGTGTTTCTGTGTTTCTGTGTTTCTGTGTTTCTGTGTTTCTGTGTTTCTGTGTTGCTGTGTTGCTGTGTTGCTGTGTTGCTGTGTTGCTGTGTTGCTGTGTTGCTGTGTTGCTGTGTTGCTGTGTTGCTGTGTTGCTGTGTTGCTGTGTTGCTGTGGTTCTGTGGTTCTGTGGTTCTGTGTTTCTGTGTTTCTGTGTTTCTGTGTTTCTGTGTTTCTGTGTTTCTGTGTTTCTGTGTTTCTGTGTTTCTGTGTTTCTGTGTTTCTGTGTTTGTGTGTTTGTGTGTTTGTGTTTTTGTGTGTTTGTGTTTTTGTGTTTGTGTTTGTGTTTGTGGTGTTTGTGTTTGTGTTTGTGGCGTGTGTGTGTGTGTGTGTTTGTGGTGTGTGTGTGTGTATTTGTTTGGTTGTCTGTTCTCACGCATATGTTGGTACATATTGTCAAGATCAATATGTAATATATGGAAACCAATATGTATCTATCTACATGTATATATACAGACACGTTTATTCGTCGATGTGTGTACACATTCACATATTGTTGGTGCTTAGTGGCGGGAGTTGGCACTGAAAGCTTCACCCATACAGAAGTGGCGAATGAGCCCTGCCGCCCATTTGTGTTTTCTGTGACCTGGAGGGGATGGGACCGCCGCCTTTTAGAAGGTCTTTCCAGCAGCTTATGGCCGGCTTGCTGAGGAAGGCTTGCATCCAGTTTTAAGATAGCACAGCATCAGCTGTGCAGTAGTTGATCCCTGGACGTGAGAAGCAAGATGAGCACTCAGACAAACCATGTCCGACTCAAGATTGTTTGCGCGTTCTTTGCCGTCAATCTGCAAGCCCCTACTTATGGCGTTTGGCACGCCCAGGTTTAGCAATTGGTGCCTACCGGCCCACCACAATTCAATTTGTTCCCGGCATCGCCTTTGAAGTCTTTGAAGTTCGAAGTTCATACTGGGTGCTATGAACCATAGAAACTTGGTTTCCAAGAAGGGGTGTTTTTTTTCATAGTTGAGACCCGCTGCACCCAGCGCTACGCTCGCAGCCTGCTGTGGCACCACTTCTTCAGGGATCGCCTTGAGCACAAGTTGCTAAAAGGGCAGCGTTGGCTTTCTCACAAAGGGATTGGGGTACCTTGCCCGCCGTACCCATCATTGGGGGTCACTCATTTCAGGTGAGCGAGCTGCATTTGTTCACCCATATTGCTTGGTTGAACTGAGTCCATAGAGGGGTCACCCCAAAGGGCCGCTAAAGAAAGACTAGCCAGAGTGTTAAAAGTTCTTGGGCTTTTTTGATTCGGTTCAAGGCGGCTCAACGGACAACACCTAACGCAAGGGCTTGATCGCCCAATGCAAACGTGCAGGCATTCAGAAACAGGCCCTGAGCCCAGACCATGCAAACCCGGTTAAACCAAGCAGACTACAGACTATCCCTTTTTCAAGGGACGCCGAGTGGAGGCGGTTGGAAATAGTGGTGGGCAGAAGCATGTTTAGAATGGTGGTTGCCCTAGTCCTGGTTTGCACCTTCAACTGCAAGGGTTGCGCGTTCAAGCCCAAACCCTAAGCACTGCATAGGGCTCGAACACCCAAGCCGCAAATAGGAGACAAGCACTTTGGCGCTATGGGAGCCATCTCTTGCCAATCTTTCTTATGCCCTTTTGGCCAAGCCACATTTGTGCGCGTGTGTTTTTAGGGCGCCCCTTTCGGGTTTGCTGATTGAAAAGCCAGGAAAACCTTTTGGGGTCTCCGTTGGGCATAGGCATTTTGCCAAGAGGTACGCTGACGCTTCGGACGCCTTCTTTCAGCGCGCCAAGTCAGAGATGGCCTTGGTGCAGTACAACCAGATGCTCGCGGACCTGGGTGAACTCGCCACAATGGCCTAAGAGGTTGTTCCAATAAAAGAGCCTCGGAGAAACCCAATCAGAGCTTGTTCTCCACAATTCCTGTAAAAGTCATTCGTGTGCGGTTGCATGTACTGCCACAGTGATGCATGTCCAGTGGAGCCAAAACACTTCGGCATGATCGCCCACCATGGAGCTTCGTGCCAATCGAGAACACCATCCGGCTTGAGACACTCCCAGCTCTTTCAAGGCCAAAACATTTTAGTTCTTTGTTTGGCTTGTCTGGCTGACGCTGAGCCCGGAGACGCCTCTGAGCCCAAATCAAAGTTTTTCCCGAAGTCGGTGCCGGAAGTTCCGGATGGCTCGCAGGAGGTGCGGCAGCTCAATCGGAAGGCCCAGCGGGAGCCCCGGAGCAAGGCGTTGCCTCATTGAGACCCTCTTGTGGTCTTCTAGGCTTGTCTCTTGATGAATCTGAACTTACACCAGGGTTCAAAAGTCCAACCCTCGTTGTTGTTTTGGCCGAGCAAGCAGGGTGGGTGGGCGCACTTTGTTTCCAGGCCCAGCATGTGATCATTCTAGTTATTGTCGCCTGACAGCTTCGTGGAAACTTGGACAACTATTTACTATTATTTACTAGCTTGTCTGCGCCACTTGCCACAACATGGCAAGCTTGTAGGGATTCGTGCCTGAGGGTTGAAAGAGTTCAACTCTTGACTTTGATATGCGGAAAGGGGTCCCGGATTTACGAGCCTAGAATGACTGGCTCCCACGATCGGCCTGGAACGGCTTGCAGGCAAGTGTTTGCCTTGCGCAGTGAGGGAGCTGGGAGTCGCACAGAAAGACGAGCCATCTACACCATCCATCAGCCTCATGATGGCGTTGTTTCTTTTAGGATCTCCAATGCACGTGAACGAATCCTGAGGATGGCTAGCGGGTCAGCATGCCAAGGACAGTCGACGAGTGCCTTGACAAGTGCGCCGGGCTCGGCATGAGGTTTCCGGGTCCCAACTCATTGGCCCAAGGGAGAAATGATATCGCCCATGGAAGATGTTCTCGATTCTCGTGCAAGTGTCACGCACTTCCGCTTGAATCATTGGAGTCCCTGATAGGTGCGGCCAGGGCGTGTTGGTGAGGCAAGACCTTTTTGCGGTGCGCGGGCCTTTTGCATTGACGAGCCACCACTTTGCATTCCAGGTTGTTTTTCATCTGAATTTTCAGCTGGCGTGATTTGACAGTGCTAAAAATCCACGCGTACTTGTTGCAACCTGCAGAAGCCTGGCTGAACGAAGGCCAGACCCAAGAGACCCCGAACATCTAAACGCTCGCTAGTATGGACTGAGCTGCGTGACATGGTTGGCAAGCACGTGCGATTATCTATTCTGCAGGGTCTCAAGCCTTTCCGAAAATTTGAGGCAAAGCAATCCTGGCCTCACAACCAGAGCTTCTTGCGGAGCTGCAGAGGCAGGCTTTGCTCACAGCGTCTGGCAGGGTAATTAGCCATTTCCTAATGGGTCCATGATATGCTAGATTCCTGCGCAAGGCCCAACTGGGCCATGAAGGAAATCTGGCAAGGAGTTTTTGTCTCTCAGGCCTGCGTGATGGTATGTCAGGTCCTCCCATGGCTGCAACACTGTGGAAAAGACCCCATGGTCAAGCAGAAATACTCTTGTGATGAGGCCCAGCAAGTTGAGCGATGTGACGAACCGGCCTAGCGATCCAGGCTGAAGGAGAAGCACTTTGAAACCACGTGTGGTCAAATGTTGTTTGATGCTTATCAGTGATTTATTTGTAAGTCACCCCCTTTGCATTCAGCTCGTGCATTCGTCATGTCGGTGACTTTCTTTGTTCTGTCATCCGCGGTCTTTTCCTCTGACCATGCCAACCAGTTTATGCCACTAAAGGGGCCTCACTGATATTGAAAGCATTTCAGGACTGCTCCGCACCCTTTGTCCCAATCCCTTCCCCCCAATAATAAATGCGGACCCTCCCCCCCCCCCCCGAAGAATAAACACTCTCTGGGGGACAAAACATATTTATTAATAGGGTCCTGTGGGGTCGCCGGATTTCAGCTTCGGTCCTCGTCCAAATGGGCTCCCCGCCTTCCCGGACACAAAAATTGTCAAAACCTCAATGTCCGAGCAACGAATTTGAATACAACCGTTCGAAGGTTTTTCTTGTTTCAGTTTTGCGGTTCAAAAGGAAAGGGTGCAGATTAAACTTAGAGTTACAATTCAAGAAAAAATATAGATTACGAAAAGGTAAGTATCCATTTAGAATTTGGTATTGGGTTGGTGCAAGGAGCCCCCCAATATGGCTGGGGCTGGTTTGCGCGGAGACATCGGACAGTTTAGTATCGGTTTTGAATTGGGCTATTCTAAAGTAGAATTGGGGACCCGGCTGTTTCAGCCAGTCTGGGAAAAATAGTATTTATGTATAGGGTCCCATTTGTTGAAAGGGGGAAGGGATTAGTGACATCGGACGTTGCCCTGTGCAGTCGCTGTTTTCTTTAATTCCAAGACTGGCAAGCCTTCGAACCACTGGCCGTGGTCACTTGTTTGCCCTCTCAACTCCAACTGCACTTGTGCTGAGACAAAGCGTTGGTGACTGTCACCAACAATGAGAAGCTCTGATGCCCTGCATGAAGTGTCCTGGCAGGCTGCTGGTTCTCTCCGCAAAGCCTGGAGCCTAGAGCAAAATTTCAAGAGGCCTGGTCTGAATGAGATCCAGGCGAGAGGTACACTTGGCACTGGGGGGGCTCAGCAACTGCCCGACCAGCCTTTTGGCGAGATGTTCCATTTGGTCTGACACAGATCTGGTGTGCCACTGCCTGCCTGCCCGGCATTCACGCCCGCTTCGGCGTGCTCTTGGCTGTGCACCAAGGCCGCGCCGTACTGTGATTTGACGGGCGGCAAAAGAACTGTGCTTAGCATTGAGTTGGTTCTTCCCCGGCTGGTGGAAAACACAAGGCAGGATCTCTCACTTGCCAGTGTGCATGTACTTCCCGCGCTAACGGGTGCTAACCAACATGTCGGTGCTTCAAATTGGAGTTTAGAGATCAGGCTACTCTTCCAGGAAGCGCTGTATGGTGCACAGGTTCCCTGTGAACATGACAGTAGCCTTCCAAAATTGGGACTGTACACTGGAATGCTTGTTCGCAGGGTAGAAGAAGTAGAGGGCGTGCCTCTTTATCTCGAAGGCTTGGGAGACCGTCAGCATGCTGTGACATTTTCAAGGAAGCAGTGGGTTTTCGTTGCGGAGGGCGTCCACAGATTTTGGAGGCCCCCTTATTTTGCACCGGATCAGAGGGCAATGCATGCCGGTTTGGGCACACCACGGGAGGTAAGAGAGGGACATCGTAGTAAGAGTCTTGATGGGTTTCGACAAATGGGTTCGCAATGCACACAGATGCGCCTTCAATCAGATTTGTATTAGGGAGACGGGGCATTTCTATATTTGGTTTGGTGTTACTTGTGAGAAGGGTTGCAATCTTGGGCCAACACTTGGCCATGGATTGGACGTTTACTCCAGGAGGGGTGTTCCCTGCCTTTTGGTAAGAAAGTTGAGGTGCGCATGCTAGCCCTGAGTCGAGACAAATAGCTGTCAACCCGAAAGTTCATTCAAGCACCATGCCAAGAGCCCAACAAGCCAAAGAAGCCGCCATGGGAGATGCACCTGGCTATGGTTCGAGACTTGGGTTTTACCCCAAACCCTAAGCCCTAAACCCCTACCTTTGGCTCAAGACCGATATCCTACTTGGATAGGCGGCAGGCGCGAACCTTTTCGCAGGGGTTGGATGCAAACCTCTCAAAGGTATGATTGCGGCTGGGCGCGTGGTCCAACGGCTGTTTCTCCAATTGGCACCTAAGGCACCTAAGGCCTTCAGGAAGTGGGAAGGCCACTTTCCTGTGGTACAAATCTAACTGGGACTTCCTGGGGCTGAAAGAAAGGTTAGGTACGAGCAACATCGGTGTGTAGTTTTATCCTGGCACAGATGTGTTGCGCCGCTTGGCCATCCGCTTTACAGGGTGGGCTTGAGCCGCTACTCTCCAAGAGCCCACTGGCCAACATACATCAACCCTTTGAACCGGTAGAATAATTCTCTACCAGCTGCCCTCTCATAAAGCTCTTTGAGCCTCCTCTGGAGGCATCATGGGCAACAGCGTGGGCAGCAGGGAGGCAGGTGTTGAAGTTAGACCAGACCTTGCCCATCTTTTTTCTATAAAAAATCCTAGCCCCCCCCCCTACACTTTTAGCAACATTTTAAAACAGCACCTCAAACAGCACATTTTCAAAAATCAGCATTTTAAAGCAGGTAATTTCCTAGTAAGTTCATCCATATTTTAAAATATAAATTTTAAAAAATAAATTTTACAAAAATTTTAAAAAAATAAATTTTAACAAATAAATTTTAAAAAATAAATTTTACAAAATTTTAAAAAATAAATTTTACAAAAAAAAATAAATAAAATTTACAAAATAAAAAAAAAAAATCAAAAAAATATTATTCCAAAAATTGATAAATTATTTTACAATAAATTTTATCACAAATTTTGTAGACATATTATGGGCAAGGTCTGGTTCATTCGTTTTTTACGGGCACCATTCTTCCTTAATTCTTTCTATTATTTTATCACACGTTGTTTCATTATAAATATTACTTCTTATTTGTTTTCTAAACATTCCCATTATTCCAATTGCACGTGTTATTGTATATCTAAGTTCGTGAGTTTTATACTCATCATTTAAAAACTCGTGTAAAAAATCAAAGTCATTATCATTCAATGTTTCATATTTTAAACGTTTAATGCTAAAAGACATATTGTATAATCTTTTTACCATGCTATAATACTTAAAAATAAAATCATTATCATTTCCTTCATCATCGCCCTCAAAGAATAAATTATCAAACCCTTCTATAGTTAAGAAATTATTCATTTCAATAAACACAAATATTTCTAAATCATCATCAATAGTTTCATTATTTATAAAATCAATATCGTTGTTATTCATATCATCAATTTTGTTTATAATTCTATTGCAATTATTGCATATCATGTATTGACAAATATTATTACAAACGCCATTTGTAAAACCCCGTTCAATTGGTAATTTTAGCATTTCACAGTCTTCACATTTATAACTCATAAACTTTTTTTTCAATATATTTTTAGCATCATGGACTGTATCACTCATCACACTATATAATAGTATTATAAAATATTTCTTTAAATACTTTTACAAGAATTTTAATTTTAAATTAAAATTAAATTAATAAATTAAAATTAAATTAGGTTATGTAGATAAAACTTCATAATTTAAGTTCAGGATAATAATTTAATTGATGACTACTAAGTTGTATATATATCGTACGTCTTTCATGCATTATTTTTAAAATAATATTAATATCTCTCACTGTATGTTTAATATTAAACTTTTTACTTTCGATATATGTTTTAATGTCTTCTTTTACATCAAAACCTTCCCTACTATGATAAGTCAACATCCATAATATACTTTCAATCATTCTATATTTTTTCTTACTGATTTTTAGAAATATTCTAACATAACTATAAGGTGGTCTTCCATACACGGTTAAAAATATTAAAATTTCATCTTCTACGTTTCTTTTATCTATTTTTTTAATCTCCAAAATATTTTCTATTATATTTTGATATCGTCGCCATCTTCTACAAGTTCTACATACATCTTCTTCATCCAATGCATAATCAATAATATTATTCACTATTCCATTATGTAAATTCAATTTATACAATTCCATATTTTCCTTTTTAAAGTGGCAACAATCATAGCATTTTTTATTGGTATAACTATTGATTTTGGTTTTCATCATCTCACTATATAATATCTATAGGTAATATTTCTTTAAATACTTTTTACAAGAAATTTAATTATGATAATTAAATTAATAAATTAAAATTATAATTAAATTATCATAATTAAATTATAATTATCATCATTTACAACTACAATTACATAATTTACAAAATGGGATGATATTTTCTATTGTATGAGTTAATTCATTGTCTTTTCGTTGTGCTGTTAGATTAGTCATTATATTACCATTGTTCATATCAATAGTAAAACCGCAACCGCAGTAATTACATTGATTATTTATATTATCTAAAAACCATTGAGTATTTACATAACCTTCTCTAGGTATGCTTCTTTTTGCTTTCCTGTCTTGTTCCTTATAATTCAAAATTTTCCTTTCAAAATAACTCATAATACATTTTTGATTAAATACATCATCAACATCCTTTGTATATTTATAAAATTTGACTTTGTTTAAATCACGAGCACGTGTTACCGCTGTAAAAATCCATTCTGGATAATTATTTACCGAAAAATGATGATAATCAAAAATTGTTATGGTGTCATCAATGCTACTACCTTGAGTAGAATGACATGTAGAGCAAGAAGAAAATATAAAATTGCTTCTTATTTTAGCAACTTCTACGGATTGTAAAATTTCGGTTTTTACATTTTTTAATGTAAATATTCCATCACTTCCAATATGAACTATTTTATATTTGAAATTTACATTAAAAACTGATGTTTTAGTTTTAGTATATTCTCTACAAATTAAAAATTATCCTACTTCATATTCCGCCTTTCTATTTTCTAACTTTCTAATTTCATTTGATACATTTTTACAGGTTGTATTCAAAAATGCTATGTTGTTTTTGGAACTACTTATGTCAGTTGTATATTCGAAATATTTTTCAATAATTTTCATAATTGGTAATTTATTAATAAAAATATCCTATTTTATATTCTTGAGTTTATCCTTATCTTCCTGTGTGTTAAGTCTCTTACATTCTTTCAATATTATATTATGTGTAAAAATATTATCTATAATATTGTCAGTGTATAATTCATAGTCTTGAGTATTTGTTATTTCTTGCACTGGTTTTAATTGCTTGGTGTCTCCTGTTGCTATTATAATTTTGTTGTGCTTATTTTGCTCTACAAATTGTTTTATTCTCCAGTATATATTTAAATTACTAAAATAGATTTCATCAAATACTATTACATCAAATTCTGTAAAATCAAATGGTTCTAATTTAGCATCTCCATAATTAATACCAAAGAATTTATTTATCGTCATTGCTTCTCCTTCAAATGCCTGTAATAGTTTATTAGTAGGACAAATAAAAATTACCTTATAATTTTTATCAACCATTTTTTGACATATATATGATTTTCATAGGATTATTCTGTTTAACAATCTCTATAATGTTATCAGTGTCGTATTCATCTTTAATATCAATAGTTTTACTTTCATAAGCTGGTATTTTTATTAATTCATTATTTACAACGTTAAATTTTACTGTAGGTAAATTAATTTCATCTCTCTGCTTTGAAACTTTCCAACCTCCTATATCATCATGAAATTATAATAATTGCTTTGTTTTTTCTTCATTGCATGTATCAATTACAAAAGCATCTGTTTTTACACTATATATATTAATATTATTAGTTATTAGTGTCTTAAAGTCTTGGTTCATTTTAAAATTGTGATGTTGTAAAAATAGTTCTTTAATATATCTATATCCGTTTCTTAATACTGCCTTATCCTTCAAATTCAATATATAATATGATGCCTTTACATCCCATTCATCCTCATCAAATCCATAATATGTTGTAGTTGCGCCTCCTTCGTCGTCATATTCGGTTATCATTTCGGGATATTCGCTTATAATATGCGATAACTTATTAATTTTACCTCCGTATTCTGTTTGATAATGGACTGCTTCATCAATACTTTTAAATAAAATACTTTGATGTGCTGTAGCGCCTCCTTTTTCTAATAATCCAAAATTTACATTTGCTATTAACTTTTTAATTAGTTTATCTAATGCTTCGTCATGTTCATCTATATTTGTTTGTAAAAGTTCATTAATAATATTTGTATATTCAACCTTATGAATAAATGAAGGTTGTTTATAATATAAAATATTGATTTTGTGTGTCTTATTCTCATTGATGAATTCCTTCAAAAACTTGCCATATACTAGATTATATCTTTTGTTGAAAAATAAGTTGTGATTACCACTTATTACAATGTGCCTAATTGCTTGTTTTAATTCATCAGGATTTAAAAACACACTTAAATCATGTGTTTTACGAAATTCTATATAAGTAGCAACGTCAATACCTTTACTATATGCAATAGAATGTATCATCTGCTTGGTGTGTTGATTTTTCTCTATTAGTTCCTTAATGCTGTCCATTGTTGTTTTTAATGGTCTTACATTTGTATCTATAGTTTCAACATAATATAAAGTTAATTCATGGAGTTCATCTATTTTAATTTCATCGTTGTATTTTTTCCAATGATCAAACTGGTTAAATACTGGTATTTCCCTAATATTTAAAAAACCTTTGGTAAATGCTTTATTTACATCTATTTCTGTTTTATAAACTAAATTAATATTGTGTTTTGTTCACGTGTTGTTTCTTCATATGGCAAAACGGCCGAATGGCCGTTTGGCTCAAGTTTTTACCTCCCGTCAAGTGGGGATAGGACTCAAGCTCGAGCGCCATTCACTGGCAGCTTTCTTCGTCCTCGAGCCGAAAAGGGTCGGGGCCGCGGGCGGCTGGGTGTAGGAGGTGCTCGGTGAGTTGCGCTGTTCCACTTGGGCTTGGTATTGAACTTAATCCTCTTCAACTTGATTTCAAACATCCCCATACTACTTCTTTCTCAACCGTCACTTCCTCAACCCGGTCATCATCCACAGCTTCACCCGAGTTGTGTTTCCGGGTGCTTTGGGTACATCGTGATCTACCTTGTGCTCATTTGCTTCCCTGGGCTACTTCGTGTTCGCCCAAAACCGCAGGTTATCAGCCGTAACAGCTAGAAGCTGGGGCTGGTGATCCGGTTGCGGGACGTGACCCGCTACCCGCTCCCTCGTCTACTTGTACGAGCAATGGCGTCCCCCGGAGCTTCACATCGTGGGCCGGGCTTCGTGGATGACGAGGCCAACGCCCTTCGCGGCAACGCCGCGCGTGCTGCCCCCGGCTTAGACAGCCGGCTGTGGCCCATTCCCCCGATGGTGGGCGCAGAGCCCAATCCCGGGGTGATCACGGACGATTGGATCCTTTCTCAGGTCGTGTTTGATGAGGATGCGGAGGCCCCTGTCCCGGCGGCAGTG